ATTGCACCGAGCCAGGATGGCCCGATCAGACCATCCCAATGGCATGAGTGTGTGCTTGTGTGATCAGACAGGAGAAAGTCTGTCCACAGCCCATTGGAACCCATTTAGTACTGGACTTTCCCTGGTGTCTTTTAACTCCACTTCCGTGGCAGAGCAGCACGGGTTGCTGACAACTGCGGGACTCTTCCCAGATGTTGCTGTCTGCTTGTTCCCTTTAGATCCATCAGGCATTCACAGCTATGTCAGATCTAAAGGTGCATGTGATCACACCCGCAGTCTTTTCTGTATTCAAGTAAGTTTCACTATAGAAAATCAACAGTACAATTCACATATTAAAAACATTGCTACCTGCAAAATAATACATTGCTATATGTATTCCCTTGACATTACAGCCGTCCCTGTCTAAAGTTCTTTGTCTCATCCCTTCCCAGTTTTTAATGGATAGCATTTTTATTTATTATTTTAGCCTTTTCCTGCTCTGCAAGTTAAAGAGAAACAATAAGCCCATTTTTGCTTTGTACTTTTTAATCTGGTGTGCTATATCACACTGTGCTTCACCTCTCAGAGAAATGGTCCAAAGAAATGAATTACAGGGATGAGAAAGACCTGTTTCTTCATTAAGAATTATTGTTGCCTTCCTTGGGCTTGGAACATCAAACATGGTTATTGCAGATGCATTTTAAGTGAAGAATATTCCTAACATGAGCGGATCAAACGAAGCTGCCTTATTCTGAGTCAGTCTATCAAAGTCAGTCTATGGCAGCAGTACTCCGGGGTCGGACTGAGGTAAAGGTCTTTCTTCTATTTCCTGATCCTTTTGACTGGAGATGCTGGGGATTGAACCTGGGACATTTTGCATACAAAGCAAACCTCTGTCCTACTTCTCAGTGGAGCTCACTGAATCTTGGTGATGCTAAGTGATAGTAGAGCAAATTTTATGTTATTTTACTTGTTCTAATTTCCTTTGTCATTCTAGAAGAGCATTCCTGTTGGAGTGAAACAGAGAGCATTCATCATAATAATATTTATATGTCTCTTTAGATACATAAAAATAATAAAAGTAATTTGCATTTAAGGTCAGTGAGTAAACTTTAGATTGACACTGGTATAGGTAAGGACACAACCATTCCTCATTAAAGTAGATTGGGGTCCCCTACCTTTCTGAGCCTGTGGGCACTTTTGGGATTCTGACACAGCGTGGTGTGTGCAGCCACAAAAAAACTGCTGCTGCAGGAGGTGGAGACAGCCACAAAATGGCTGCCACAGTTTACCTTTCTTGTGCTGTGGTGACACCTGCTGCCAAAGAAATGTTTTTAAAAAATTGCACAGCCAATGAAATCTTCAGTGGCTAAGCAGAAGCTTTGCTTGGGGAAAGCCCTATGTGGCCCCACCCACTTTCTAACAAATACTTGGTGGGTGTCAGGAAAGGTGATGGGAGGCACCATGCGGGAGGCTCTTGAGGTAGATTAGTATAATCTCACTCCTCTCCCCTGCCCCCCAAACCTGTGGCCTTTTATGACTATGTCACAACTATGATAATAGCAGGTATTCTGTTCTTGTGAATAGTCTAATATGTTTAGATAGCAGGACAGCATATATTTGGAACTTTGAAAAAATTCTGAATTTCTAAACATGTGGCTGTCTGCCCCAAAGTAGATGCAGAAAGTGACCAGGTGTTTGGGTGGGGAGAAGCTACAAGGTTCTCGGAATGTTGCACTAGACATCAGTGATGGGATGGGTTGGACCTGGATCCAAGAACTGTGCTTATTAAGTGTGATCCTTAAAACAAAACTTTGCTTTATTGTATGGGAATAATTTCTCAACCCTGTAGCTGAAATGTAGATGTAAATGTACATGAGCTGAAGGTATTAAGGACTAATTTGTTGAACATCCCCATGTGCCTGGAGTGGGGACCAGCCCATGGTTGAGGAGGATGACATAGACATGCTGTGCTGAGGCAAATCAGGCCATAACTTTATTGATTACAGCTTCCTCAGGTCTTGGTGCAATATAGGCTGGGAAGACTGCGTGCAGGGGATAGCCCACCTACTTTCAGCAACCTTCCCCCAACCTGCCTGTTGGAGTCACCAAGAAAAGAGGGCTGGTATTAGGACTGGAAGGAGTGGAAGCCACTGTTCCTCCCAGCCTCCTGGGGATGATCTCCACATGTCAGCCCTGAGGTTGGCTTTGTGCACCCAGCTCCCCAGAGCCCCTTAAGGGGGACCCCTTTTTAGCGTCATGTAGGGAGGCCATCCTAAACACCATGCATTGTATTCCCCAGCCATTTCCTCAACACCGGTAGCCAATTGTAGCAGTTATGGTCTTTTAAGCAGTATGATCAGGGGTCTTGTTGTAGAAAAAGAGCTGCCGGAGCTCATTAGCATAACTCATTAGCATAACTTATTTGCATATGCCACGCCCCCTGCCATCACCGGAAGTGACAGAAGGCCACACCCCCTGACATCACCGGAAGTGTGTCAGAAGGCCCGGCTACTTACCCTCCTGCTTCATCCTCATTCCCAAACGGAATGAGGATCGAAGCAGAGGGTGGGGTAAAGAAGGGGGCGGGGCTTCACCACGTGACCGCCCCGCCCCCTAGAGGTTCTCTTCCGGAGCTCCGTACCTGAGAGCTCCCCCCCGACTAGAGCCCTGAGTATGATCAACCATACTATGGGGAAAGCAAATACTCCAGGGCCTATTAGTCAATCAGAACCATGGGTAAAATTCCTTCCTGGCTCTGTTAACTAGCAACTGTAATCATACCAACAACCAGTGTTCCCTCTAAGCTGAGTTAGTGTGAGCTAGCTCACAGTTTTTTAGCCTCTGGCTCACACATTTTTGTCTTAGCTCAGGAAGGATGGCTCCAGAGCAAACTAATTTATGCAGTAGCCTAATTGCTCACTCACAACTTTGATGCCAGTAGTTCACAAAGTAGAATTTTTGCTCATAAGACCCCGCAGTTTAGAGGGAACATTGCCAACAACAGAAATAAACATTTGAAAGCATGGAGTGGGAGCATGGGTTTTTGCTAGCAGAGTGTTCCAAGTTCTCAGCCTCTTTAAAACATGAACTGTGGACCAGATTGGAATCTGCAGCCCTCAGGTCTGCTGACCCTACCCTTTCTCATCAAAGTGTCTGGCCAGTGGCAGTGGAGCTTCAGAAAGTGGTCTGAGATCCACCTGGCTGAGAGCCAGTGCTGGGTGCAATTGCCAGAGTCGCCATGTCCCCCCTTCCTTCACTCAGGAACAAATAGTGCTTCAGCTTGGCTGGGAGCTAGACTTTTCTCATCCATGGGTCAATATGCTTCTTTCCATCTAGACAAAGTCAGTTGCAATTCTGTATTTTATTTATGGTTTTTCTGACTTGTCCCCAGCTCTTGTGATCTGAGGCTGTGGTCACACGATCATTTTGATCAGGTTTCACTGCTGTTCCCTCTCACATTTAAAATTGCTGATCAGACGCCCAAATCCGTCTCCCACACCAAAGTGGGCTCACTCGCACGACCCTCCTGGTTCCCTAGCAAGTTTTCCGACACCGGGAAAATCAAGTACTTTCTGGGTATTTGTGCTTTGAATCTGTGATTTTGCTGATCTGGACAGCCATCTCTCACAATGATTGCAATTGCATCTGACCGTCCTTTGCACTATGGGTTCCCCCCCCAGCGGGGGCTCATGATCAATCCTGCACTGAAAAAATTCAATGTTTAAACGTTCAAGTGCACATATAGACTCCAGTGCTTGGTAGTACGTCACCTCACCGGTTCATGTTGTTCACTGTTCAGGGGGGGAGGGCTGTAAAAACAAGGGAGTACGGCGAGTCCAAGTGGAGGTATTGATTCAGCTGTGTGCATATGCACATGTGCAAAGCAAATTTTAAAAAAACTTGCACTGCACCACCCAAGCAGTGGCGCAACTATCTAGACAGTGCCCAGAGCCTTGTTGTGCAATGCTTGCAGTTCAGGGAGGGATGTGTGAGTTTAGTGCCTCTTATGGTCCAGTCCTGCCTTTCATAAAGCAAATGGAAATCCAGTCAAAAACCTGAATGGATCTGCCCCACCTAGAAGAATAGGAAAATAAACTAGCTGAATAGGTAGTAATGGCAAAATTGAGAACTTATCTGTAAAACAGATCAATCACAAAATCTGAGGAGAGATGGAATGTGCATTGTGCAAGCAAGAGACAAATTTAGAATGAGAAGTACCGGTAGTTCAAAAAATTTGTACACAAATATATTGAAATGTAGAAGCAGAACAAGAATAAGTTTTAAATGTAACATCTTGAATATAAATGTATAAAGAAGTATATCCAGAGCAGAAATATCCTCTACTTTCTTATTATGAGATATATAACAGATTTTCTTTCTGTACTCTGATATGTTACTTATTATTAAAAATTACACTGAGTAAGTAGAGGTGGCAAAAATATATAATGCCGAATATGTAGTAAAGATGAAATCAATAATGTAAATGTAAAACAGATTAGTTATGAAATTTGAAATCCAAAATGTTGACTATAAACATACCCCAACAGACATAAGAATTATTGTATTTCATAGATATGGTTTTAAATATTATAATGAAGGGGGTGTTGGGGACAAATGCTTTTTGTTTCATACACCCTGAGTTACATAGTTATTTTTACATACATAATTGTGGTATGGAGTCCCTTTTTCATTTCTGTATCCCTTTCACATCTTTACTTTAGAAAAGAGCAAGAGTCCAGTAGCACCTTGAAGACTAACAAAATATGTGGCAGGGCATGAGCTTTTGTCAGTCACTGCTCACTTCTGTATCTAAAGAAGTAAAAAGTGACTTACGAAAACTCATACCCCTGCCACATATTTTGTTAGTCTTCAAGGTGCTACTGGACTCTTGCTCTTTTCCACTGCTACAGACAGACTAACATGGCTACCCATCCACATTATTACTTTGTTTTCTAATATATATATATATGTATATATAAATCCTGAATGGTTTTCTTTCTTTCCTCTGTCCTTGTTAGCTGTACAATGGAACAATCAAAAGAGACACAGAGAATAGACGCTACAGCTCCTACAGCCAAATGGACGGCTGGGGTGGCAGGCACTACAACAAGATCTGCAGCCCTACCAGTCCTGGCAGTGATTACTGCTTTGTGAATATGAAGAGCAGCCGAAGTGAGCCAGACCTCTACTGTGAGGCTCCACGAAGCACACTAAGGAGAAACCAAAGTGGTAGCCGGGTAGGGCACAAGGCCACTCTGAATCGTCACAGCATCTACAGCAGCTGCAACAATCAAGGCACTATAACCACAGCTAGGACAAGCAAAAGAATCCCAGTGCGTAGTCCCTCCTGTACTTCTGCTAACAAGCAAGATGTGGTCTATGCCCAGCCTGTAGCAAGCAGCAAGCAAGATGCGATCTATGCACACTCCAACTCTAAGTAAGTTCTTGTGCATGCCTTTTCTACTTAGCCCATATAGACTTTTTCTGTAGAAAATTTGAGTGTATTATGCATATGATAAAAAACTGTCGAAGGATCCAAAGTCTTGCTGAGTTTATGAGCACTTTGGGAATGGAGAGTGGGCATCACACAAAATAGTGTCCATGTAGGGCAATCACAAAATGTCTTCCATGGGGGACTGGGGCTAATCACAAAATGTTGGGATGTTGCAAATCAAACTGCTTCCTGTAGTGGAGGCACTGTTTCTGAAAGGGTGCTGCCTGTGTACACAAAGAGAATGCCTCCTGAAGTCTTCAGAACCACTTCCTACTCCAAAAAGGTGGAGAATTGTCAGGACTGGCCCTTTGCTTTGTGAAAAAAAGTGTTTTGTCAAAGAAGCAAACAGCAGAAGAAAACCCATGAATGTGGGGGAATCTGGCAACCCTAGTAAGTGTCAAGATACTCGTGGGGTCTATGCAAGTAGTAGTGAGCACTGCTCTATAGGTTGCTTTACTGGACTTTTATCATCCTGCAGGAAAAAAAATACTCTGTCTGCAGACGATTCCATGTGCAGTATTTCAGGAAAATTATGGAACATCCCTGCTTTTGGAGGAGTTTGCCTCAGTTAAGAGCTGTTTGGGTTCTCATTTGGATGGTAGGAATCCTATCATGATGGACAGAACCTGACATCCATACTTTTCAGCATAGCAGTGTGTGTAAGCAGTGGGGTTTTTTTACTGCTGGCAGTGAAATATTCAGCATCAAGTTCACATGCTCAGCAACTACTCCCCAATTTCATTTTTCTCAAGCAAACATTATGTGTAATCTAAAGGATTAAACTGGATTTTAAAAAGATTACTGATTACATGCTAAAGTAAAATAGCTTCATTGGAAAATGTCTACCTGCTTCAGTGTGAGATTTTAAGGTTACTGATTACATGCTAAAGTAAAATATCTTCATTGGAAAATCACTGTCTACCTGCTTCAGTGTGAGATTTTAAGTCAGCATGTGCCATCGGACCCAGGAGAATTGCTTGCACTGTGGATCATAGTATTATCATTTTCTATCATTAGAGATCCAGTTTGCCTTTTAAAGAACAACTTTAGGTAATGAAGATTCACCTCAAAAACAAGTGTTGTGTGGGAAACACTCTCCTTTGCCAAGCATCTCTTGGTTTGGGAGTGGCTCCCTTCATAGCACCCATCTTGTTAGGGGTGTGGTTCACTTGTGGAACTGGTTCTGATTTGGGAGTTGTCTGTCTTGAAGCAGTGGGCCTGGCTGGTGAGTCTTCCTTCCAGTTGAACTAGTTCTGGTTTGAGGAGGTGTCTCATTTCTAGAACTAAGTTTCTTTGTACTGTTCTGCACCCTTGTAGAAATTGATCTTCTTGGTAAAAAGCCGTTCTAGATAATGAATATATTTCACCACCAGAGCCAGACTAGGTTGAACAGATGGTGGGTAGTACTTCCTTTTTATTTTGAAAATGTCTTTTCACTAAAGCAGGGGGGTTGTCAATATGTGCCTGCCAGAGATACTGAAGTCTAATGGTTGTTTTAACCTGAAGAACCAAGACTTCTTGTCAGATTATTTTTTAAAAATAGGTGCCTTGGGTTGTAGGGGTATTTTCATAAAGCTGTCTGGGATGTAGAAGCTGTTTTCTTGGAGAAAGAACTGAAAATAGCACCACACTTCATCCAAACTAGTATTTGGATTTAATTTCTACCATCTGGTTTAAGCAGACTATTTGGGTGGGATTACCAGAATATTCTGGAAGGTTCTGACAAGTCTCCCATTGGCTGCCTCTGGTCTGCATGAGGCTTTCCTTCTTCCATCAGCAACCCAAAGGAATCATACTGGGAGGACAACATCAGCAGGGTAGCCTTGATCTGAACCATTCAGTTCACAGAAGATACAGAACCCTTGGATGTTGTGTTCTTCACTGATGCTATAGTTCACATGGATCGTGTGAATGTACCATGCAAATACTGAACATTCAGAATATTACAGCAAGCTCTGATTTGTACAATGCTAATCAGATCTCATAGCCCATGCCAGTGACTCCTCCTCGGAGATAATAGGCAAGGTCTGATGTTTACAGCCACAGCCTGCCCAAAGGCCTGTAGGCACAATCAGGTACTAGATAAGAACATAAGAGAAGCCAATGTTGGATCAGGCCAGTGGCCCAACCAGTCAAACACTCTGTCATACAGTGGCCAAAAATACCAGGTGCCATCAGGAGGTCCACCAGTGGGGCCATAGATCTATCATGACTAGGAGATCCCTGGAAGTAGGAGATTATGGGGGAAATGCAGCTGAAAAGTGAGGAATTGCAGGGAGATTTCAACCAAATTCAGATGCGTGGATATTTCTGCAGAATTTTATTTCACTCATCGCTGGAGATAACTAATTCTGTTTTTTGCCTTGAAGTGCAAGGGTCCAATCTAAAAAGAATAATATATCAGACTTCTTCAGAAGGACCTTGAGTAAAGGAGGTGTTTATTGGAATGTGGTCCTACTGTCAGACAGGAGCTGTTCTTTCCTTTTGGAGTTGTCTCCCATATCAGTCTTTTTATGTGTGGAGAGTTGCCACTGTTGTAGAACTAGGCTTGACTGAGGGTGTGTCTACACTAGTGCTGACTTTGCTCTACTATACAACCTTCCTGTGGGAAGGGCATCATGCTGAAGCTCCAAATCTGAAGTCAAAGAATTCAGTCATCACTGCTCTGATTATACTCCCTGCCTTCCTGTAATGGTAATGTCAGCATTTGCAATCTACCCCCCCCCCTTGCTCTTTCATATCACTTCAGCACAGGAGGAGAAGATACGCAGACATGACCTAATACTAATAACTATGAAATAACTGTCTATGCTTTGAAGTTGCTCATTTGTTATACTGGCAGTGTGTAGAAAGCTAAGTGATTTCCTGGTTGTGGGATTTAATGTGTAAAGGCTTGCAGAATAGAGTTCTTGTTAGAATACACCTGCCTTGTTTGGGAAAAATAATCACAGAAACGGAAACAAACAGTTGGAGTAGGATTAATTTGTCTAAACAGCAGAAATGGTATGGGATTTTTGTTTTCTTCGGAAACAGAAACTTTTCAGTTGTTACAGTTTTGGCATTCCTTCTTTGAGTACTGGGAGAGCACCTTACAATAAGCCTCTGAATACTCACAGTTGTATGAATAGGACAACAAATATATTTTTCAGCTTCAGTGCACAGTATCAGAAAACCAGAGTTTTGAGGACTTGAAGCATTGACCCCTGGATAAGTTATCTTTTTATATAAAGTTCTAATGAATATTCATAATAATTCATGTTGTCCTAAAAAGCTATTGATTTTAGCCTTTACACAAAGAGGCTATGAAATTGAGCCTGCCTGAGTGCTAACTTTGTGTGTGTGAGGTGGTACTGGGATCATTAGCTGAATCTGAATGGACAGATAATTTTGCAAAAGAGAACCATTGTAGCATAAGTGATGAAAGAAAGGAAAAGGTCTTCCATACATTGGGTTTCAGCTTCTTCATGATATCTGGTGTACAAAGAAGAACAGAAGACCCTGCAGGTGGCAGCAAGAAGCCAATTAGATAGGATAGTGAGGTCAGCACCTTCTCTCCTTTTATGTATCTTTCTTTGTCTGTCTCCAGATTGCTACTCTTAGGGCAATTCCTACTTCTTCTTGGAAGTGCCACCCTTAGTCTCTTTCTCTCTCAGCTAGTGGTGTAGTTAGGAACCTATCTCTGTCTCTCCTCTTTACTATCAAGTATATTAGTTCCTAAATAAACCTTTATCTACACTTTAATCAGGTTGTGCACCTTTGCTGTATCAATTACTCTGCCAACACATGACAGATGCTTTTTTCCCAAAAGTCATCAGACATGTGGTCTGTGACAAACTCATGTCAATCACTGCTAGACCAGGAACTAATAGAATCTGTGCAAGTAGCATAGACCACAGCAGTGACACAAAAGCAAAATTCTGCTTAGCATCCCTTTCATGTGGTCCTTTTCTTCCCACTTCTTACTGCATAACTAGACTTAACTAGATGTGGAAAAAGCTGCCATCCAGACTAATCTTTGAGGAGAAGCTGGGGAACTGAATGTATTTGATATTAATTTCCTAAACAAGCAGTTTTTAAAATTTAGCAGTTCGAGGAGCCATGTTTTGATTTAATTTTTTTCACAGACTTGCAAGCCATCCCCTTTTCTCTCCCTGGCACCTGTCACACCTGGAAAGTCCCTTTTAAAAGCACACATGGAAAACCACAAATGGCCCATGGTAGGGTTGCCAGGTCCTCTTGTCACTCCAGTGGGAGGTTTGAGGGGCATTCCTCGATGTCCCCGGCATGTTGACATTGTGTACATATGCTCAGGTTTAAGGGCAAAACTCTATGGTAAAATCAGCTTAAAACCATAGAGTTTTGCCCTTAAACCAGAGCATCCCCATGTGATGTCACCAGCACGATGAAGTCACTTCCGTGTGACATCATCATGTTGGGGAAGTCACATAGGGATGTGGCCATTTGGGATTGGGGTTTTCCCCACCAGCCAGCTGGCCGGCAGTGGGGAGAAGCCCTGAAAACTGGGGGAACCCTCACCTGGGGACTGACAAGCCTAGCCCATGGAGACGTTTGTCTTTAAAACAGTACAATGGAACCCTGATCACCATAGAATCAGGTTTAAGCAAAATGCATTGTCGATACAAGACTTATACCATCCGGTCTCAGAGGTATCTGAAGAAGTGAGCAGTGACTCATGAAAGCTCATGCCCTGCCACAAATTTTGTTAGTATTTAAGGTGCTTCTGGACTCTTACTCTTTTATACTCCTACAGACTAACACGGCTACCCATCATATTGGTCTCAGAGGACAGCTGATTCAGTAGGCCCACAGTTCAGCAGGGATGTGGCCATTTGGGATTGGGGTTTTCCCCACCAGTCTTTGCACTGAAGACTGAAATAAAGTTCCTTATTGGTTCATAACTGTCAGCCAGAGGCCAGCTGGGC